GACAAAAACTTTTGAACCCTTAGCTTCTACTACTAAAGATCTAAAGTGATGAAGTCTCTCTCACTGATTCTCAGATGGCTGGAATTAACAATTCGATTCAGAATAGAACTAAAAGTTCTGGTTGTCAGAGAGTTTGGGTTGTCTACAGAAATGAGGTGGAGGAAGTCTCCTTGACTGAAAAAAAAAAAAAAAAAAAAAAAATCACAAGAAGGTAATGTTAAAGGGATACCACTCCAAGTTATACTGCAAACTGACAGCATTCTAGCAGAAGGTACATTGTTGCTGGGAAGAGGTAGAAGAAATCCTAAAACTCTGCTTTCTAAAGACCCACTCCCTTCACTGGAAGCTGAAGCATGAGCTGACTTTCATGTAAATTCTTATAACTACTTTAACATTTCAAAGTCTTTAAGACAAAAACTTTATATATGCCATCAAATTATACCACATTCAGAGATTCTCTTTTGATGTGTTTAGACATTTGTACATTTATCACGCTTTGTGTTTTTTAAATGAAGCTATTTAACTTTCTGGGCTCATTTAAAAATGTTTCCTTCCTCTGCTTTAAAACTCACTGCATTGCTTTCTAAATTTTAGCATTGTGTGTCTACACATAATCAGGAATAGACTGATGATAGCTTCGTATCCATACTGAAATCATTTTTCATGCAAATTAGTTAGGAATGGTAATGTTCAGAAGCATAGACTTCATCCCTTTTATGGAAGGTCAAGGCAAAAACTTGTGCACCACGAAGCTTTCAGAATGGGAATGAGAGATATGGAGGATGGATGCTGACTATCTGTGCTTAAGTCATATCTCTTTAGAAAACAAAACCTTGATTTAACAGAGTTCTATGTAATGCCTGAATCTCCTTTTCCCCCTCTGCACTAGATGACCCATATGGCCAGAAGCACACACAAAACACTGCATGGTTTTCACAAGGCAGTCAGCAGAAACCTCTCAGTTTGAAAGGCACAACTCATGTCCCTCAAGTTCTGTAGGATTACACAAAAAAAAAATTAACTCTCATATGCTCTAGAAATTACTTTCTCACAACCATATATGATAATAAAAGCTCAGAATTGAAGCTGAAACAGAAATACACATTACCTCCCACAATGGGTTCTTCCTCAAACATCTCACAATCCACTGACACAGCAACAAAGCCATTTGATTCCTCTCTTTCCCCCTTCCTCCCCCATACATCCCTACCTCCTCCCAGATGCTGCTGCCTGCTTTCACGCAGGCAGTGCAGATGATCACCCCAGTTTTAAGAAGTCTCACCACCCCATATGTTATCTATAGTCATTGGGATGGGAAGATGATTCCATAAGGCTCCTGTCTGGCGTCTAGTGAAGCTCTTTCATGCTCTCCTGTGACTATACGGTCAGACTAGCTCCTTTATTTAGCTTAATGTGCAGTGGTAGGAGTAGTCTCCTGGGCTAAAGCTCATCTCTCAGGACATCTACCATAATAACTTTATTTAAAATGCTCAACGATGCAGCAGTTCCAAGTTGAATTAACCTAGATATGGAAGGTGAAGGTAATTTCATTGGCTACAACATAATTGAGAAGTTTGGAAGCCACTTTTTTTTTAAAGCAATCTGTTAAGAAGTCTCCAGCAGACAACCCTGGCTGATAAACCCTGCTGATCTCTATATTCTTCATGCTGTCTTATAAATTACTGTTAAATTACTGACACATGAATCCAGAAGTATGTGCCCCAGTACACCTGAAACCTACTTCATAAACCTTGTTCAGAATTCTAGTAATTCTAATCCAAAATTACTACAGTTTTATATCATTGTATTTATTGTATTCGTTTTTTAAGTCACTTAAAATATGACTGACCCAATAATGGGAAAATAAATTACATTAACATGTCAAACAAAAATTTCATTGGTAGATTATACATACAAGTCTTTGATAGCAGACTTTGATTGCATTTGCTCACTCACTCTCTCTCCCTTCTTTAAGTATTCAATACCAGGAAGTTTTACTCAAATTGAATGAAACTTCTAGGTATTTGGTACACAAATTTGTGAGACTATCTTTAAAATCCTGGACACAGATTATACCATGAAATGGAAAGGATGCCTAACTCTTGTATTCCAGTGTTACTTGCATGATGCTTCCGCTCACTTAAATCTTTACATTCAAATTCACTTAGTCATTAGTCTTACAAATTTGCCAGTTATGTATAGTCAGTTTACTCACTATTAGTGTTTCAGCAGTGAAACAATAAAGCAGATTCCTTCCTCCCAGAGAAGGACTGTCCTTCAACACAGACCAACTGAACTAAAGGGAAAAGTGAAACTTTTCTGGAATGTATGCACTCAAAAGCCTTGCTGATGCCCACAATAACTGCATGTGGATATTTAAGATGTGTTATTTTTCACTGAGGGTATTTATACAGTATGTTTATTTTTCTATAGTAGTGTGTGATAAATGTATCTTTACCATGTGATAGACAGCTGGTTTTATGTCTGACTAACTCTAAGCATAACACAAGTGTAGAGAAAATGGTCAGTGAATGAAAAAATAATCACACCCAATAAAAGTAGTAGCAGCAGAGCTGACTAACATGAGACAGCATCAGGCTTCTTGTGCAAACTGAATATGCTTTTTGCATGCAGCTCTGAATTACACAGATGTTACCTTCCAGAGAGGAAGTCTTGTTGGGGAAGCACTGTACTCTTAAAAACCTTTGAGGGGTCTCGTTCTTGCATAAGGATGCAAAATCCTTCCTTATCAAGTCATCCAACATGCTTCTGAGCACACTTGTATTTGTAGTGGGGAGAGTTCTGACTATACAGGGCGTGCATGGAGCAGTATACAACATTGTTTAAACACTGCAAAGGGTTTGGAGTACCTGGGGTGTGGCCAAGGGTGAAACACAAACCTCTGTTTCTCATACCCCAGTCCAGAGAGGTTCAGAGAGTCCCTAGATCTTGCTGATGTGAACAGAAGGTAAGAACTCCGACTAGGTCACAGGAAGGAGACCTCAGCTACAGAAAACTTAACTGAGCTACTCAAGTTCAAGAGCAGTTTAGCATGGGCCTCCATTAAACTATACAGTCAGAGCCCTTTGCCAAAAACAGAGTTAAAAGTGAAGGGATTTTTCTACAGTTCTAATATTTACAATTATTTGTACATATGTACATATTTATATATTTATTCATACCTGGACAGTGTGATGTTAAAGGGATAATTTATAATTTACAAATGAAACATTTTAAAAACGTATAGTTATATCATGATAAAACCTTTTTTTTTTATTGCTTGCCTTCCAGCCTTATACTCAAAATCACGCTATTGCACACATCTCCATGTTACATGGAAGATCTACATTTATATATAAATATATATGAAAATAAGATTTTTTTATTTTAATGTTCTGAGTAAAGTGCTCATTTTTTAACTACTGTTCATGAGAAAGGTTTAATCTGACAGTTTAATTAGAGGGGCTTCAAGGTATACACACCTTGTCCATGCTTCTCCCTTTCATTTCTAAGTTAGGAAATGTCTTTATTTTACTGATGTCAACTCTGTCTTTACTATTAATTCTATTCATAATATACATTTGTGACCTTGGCATCTATACTGTCACACAAAGTACAAAACAGAATCACATTAAAAGCAAAGAAAAGGCAAGAAAATAGAAAAAGCAAATGAAAGCAGTGCTTCTCTTTGTTGTTTTTAGCACATTTCCATGTCTTAAGATACTCTTTTATTTGATTTTAGAAATATTTGTACAACTTTGTTAAACTCTGAACATATCTATTTTATGCACTATACTCAAGTACTGTACAAAACTGCAATAAATGACACTATACGACTACATATGTCTCTACTAGAAGACATCATCATAAAGGTGTATCTGTTTTTAACGGTCAACTAATAACTGCTAATGTATGTGTGAATCAAAATATTTTGGATTGGCCAAGTATACTAAAATCTAAATACAGTACACAATTGTTACTCATGTCATGATTTCCCAGGCCTTTAGGGGCATAAAGAATCTTTGCAAAGGCTCAGATGAAAAACAATTTTACTGATCAGTATTAAACGTTCATATAAAATTGCAAATGGCAGCTCCAATTTTGTTATATTTGTATATATGAAATACAGTTGATACCTACTGATGATGTATGACCTTTTATTAAAAAAATAACATTCAAATCTTAGCAAAACCATTTCTAGTATACAAAGTTGTTGTAAAGTTATGTCAGCGAAATGTAAAGTTGCAATTTACAAAAGCAGCAGTAAATTTTCTTATATGGACAACTTCCTGAACTTAAATCATGGTTCTTGTTTCCCTTGAAAACAATGTTTTCTGGGACAAATACAAGTAAATCTTTTAATGGCAAGTTTTAGGTTAACATTAAGCAAGGAAAAAGAGTGTATTATATTACTGATATATTTAACCCTGAAAAATTTCTGAGCGCTTTTCTGAACCTGACAATAATCCAATCAAGAACAAAAGCAAAAAGGAAAAAAATCTAACTTTGCTGAACCAGACAAGCTGGCTTAGCAACATCAAATAAATAAAACAGTAAAAAGAATAAGAGTTTCACTAGCAGAAGTTGGTTCATATTGGAAATTTGATTAACACTTGCTTTCCCTTGAAATCAATTAGATGAGTTTATTAACAACTCCAAACAGGACAGAAGTAAGAAACTTGTGGGTTTTGCTGTATAGTAGTCTTTACTACCTTTTCAGCCTAACTAGTATCCAGAATATTTGTGAACAATAGAACTATACGACCTCCGCACTCTGTTATGTACATGGGTACTGCTATTGTACGAAATAATTACACCTTTTTAAAAAAATCACTTTTTTAAATGACAGTTTATTTCATTAAAGTAGAATTAGTTACTTTATAGAAAAATATTTTAACTTTAAATTAAAAAAATACTGTTCCTAAATAATTATGTAGGATCATATCTTCATTTCATTGTACGGAGAGAATATAATTCTATATATTTGAATGCTAGTTTAACAGAACTCTCCTGGGTATAACTTTTAAAGAGCTGGCTATGTTTGCCATGGGTGCTATCTGTTTATAGACCCATGAATTAACACTGTGTCCCTCCTTTGGAGATACACAGGTAAGACGTCTATATACACTCTATACATAATGGTTCACAGATTAGCAGTTATTAGTCGTACTGTACATAGCAAACAACCTATCTGATTAGAATAATGCTTTAAGTCCTCAGTGCAATTCAGCTTTTAGGTCGAAGGTGCAAAACCAAGTAAGACAGGCTCCCTGTTTAAATATGTAGCCCAATACACTAAATTAAAAGTACCAAATAAGACTGGAAATACTATTCTAGACATTCTGTCGATTTTGCTAACACTGTTGAATGTCTTCTTTGCTTCCTGTGGCTTCGCTTCTGGTTTTGCCTTGTTGGGTTCTGCAGTTGTAGCACTCTTGGAGATGGTTGGTAGCACTGAGTCCTTCGTAATATTTGGAGCATAGTTGGCAACAGCTACTGCATAGGCATTGTTTTTCTTAATGACAGATGCTTTTTCTTTTTTCTATTGGAAGACAGCAGGAAGATAAATATTTAATGTGTATTTGCCAGAACAGATGCAAAAAAACATCATTTCAAATGCAGAAGAAACAAATGAGTCTGTGTAAGTATTTTAAAGTAAATACCAAGACTACTGTGCTGATAAATTCAAATATATAAAAAAAGCCAGTTCTAGTCTGTCCAAAGAGAAGGTACAGGTAACACAAGAATGCTCTAAAAACATGGACTCCTGCACAATCAAAAGACCTACCGAAGTTATATGCAGTTGTAAGAATAATTAGCTAAGAACTGCTCTATCTCTGGCTGCTTTGTAGCTGCCTCCTTACAAAAGAATTGCAAGGTATTAAAAAATGTTCTCTGATAAGAGAACTAGGAGGAATGAATGGGTGGACTGAGAAAAAAAAGATTACCAGGCATTGTAATAAAAAGAAAATTTGGCCATCTTTCCCAGTAAATCTAGCAACACTATTATTTGAACATCGAATCCTGTACCACCAATAAATGAAGAAATTTCAGTAATGGTCTCTTTTCAAGAGATTCTGGAGAAATATGTGTGCGTTTATATTTATATATACATAGACACACACACACAGAGAGGTCAGAATGAGATTGCAATTAAGAGAAAGGAGGACTCCAGCCCGGTATTTAGAGAAGTGAGCTGAGAACTAGCCCAAGAACTACTTCTGGTTTTCAGAAATTATTGTTTAAAAAAAATGCATAACAGTGATGAAAATGGAGATTAAAACCTAAAAAAAAACCAAACAGAAGATAAGAAAAGTGGGATGGAATGACAAAAATTAAATGAAGTTCAACAAAGGGAAATTTAAGTCCTGCACCTGGGTAGGAATAATGTCAAGCGTCAGTACAGGATGGGGCTAGTGGGCTGGAAAGCAGCTTTGCAGAAAAAGCCCAGGGGGTCCTAGTGGACATCAAGCTGAACACAAGCCAGCAACGTGCCCCTACCACAATGAAGAGCAACAGCCTCCTGGACTGCATTACAAAAAGCATTGCCAGCAGACCAGGGAAGCCCTGGTGAGACACATCTGGAGTGCTGGATCAAGTTCTGGGCTCCCCAGTTCAAGAGTGACATGGACATAACGGAGTGAGTCCAGCTAAAGACTACAAAGATGACTTAAGGCCTGAAGCATCTGAAATATGAAAGGCTGAGAGAGCTGGGACTTTTCAGCCTGGAGAAGAAAAGGCTCAGGGGGGAATCTTAATAATGTATATAAATATCTGGTGGGAGAGAGTTAAGAAGACCAGAACAGAATTTTCTCAGTGAGGTTGAGTGAAAGCACAAAAGGCAATGGGCACAAATTGAACTACAAAATATGCTATTTAAACGTACAAAAAAACCCTGTTAACTATGAGCGTGACTGAGAACTGGAATGGGTTACCCCGTGAGGTTGTTGAGTCTTCATCCTTGGAGATATTAAAAACCTGTCTGGACATGACCCTGAGCAACCATCCTTAGCTGACCCTTCTTGGAGCAGAGGAGTTAAATTTTACAGTTTCCAGAGATACCTTTCAACCTCAGCAATTTTGTGTTTTTAAGGGATTGTGTATGCTTTCAAATGGCTAAAGTCCAGCCAATGGCAGTCCCATGGAGAGGCTGTGTCTATAAATAGATATGGGGATGTATAGATAATGAGTATAGGTTTAAGTTTTTAGACATATATAGGTACATAGGCTAGCCCTCAATAAGAGCGTAATGCTATAAATTAATGCAGCAATCCCAAACTAAGGAACTGCTAACAATCTACAGGAAAGAATGGAAGGATGTCAGTTTCTCAGAAAGCAAGGCTCTTCACGTATAATTTGAAAGTAGGCAAATAAATATTAAACTCAGTCCATCTCTTCCACAAAATATGGAATTAAACAGACAAAGAAATAGTTAACTTCTGTATTGGTTTGGTTTACTTCTAATTTAATGGAAGTGGCACAAGTGAGGGAATTTTTGTGACAGTTCTCATATGGGTGTATTCCAGTTTTTTACTTCCACTGGGAGGCATCTACCCAATTTCCAATTTTGTTCTAAATTAGCTCAAGCTTTATATTTATCAGGGCCATCTACAAAACTTTTAAGATCCTCATGGTGAGATGTTGTGCCCCAAATAGCTTGTCTCAGGAGACGCTGTCACGTAAAGAGAAAATCTGTCATCAGGTGGTGATTCAGCATTATTCCTTATTGACTGGAGCATGAAAAAGGGCTGATCAAATACATAGCTTGTCCCTGCATCTGCTTTTCTGTGAGATAAATTCCATGTTGATAGCATGTAGAAGTGCATTTCCATACATAACATGAACACAGATGATTGTCACTGAGGAAACATATTTCACTTTATTTGGTGAAGAGTAAGCCTGACTTCAGATGCACAGATGCATTCAGCAAAAACAAGAGCAAATTACCAAATTAAATTATGAGAAAAAGTCTAATTCATCTATAATTACTTCCTTTCAGACACATTCAACGTGTTTTTAAAAGGTATCTATAAAACCATTAATGAGTCCTGCATTATAAAGATGAACCATACTTTTGTATGAGAAACTATGAATATGTTAAAAGTTTAGATTTTCTTAAATCATTTTGAAGAAAATAGAGAAGTAGACATCTGAATGGTATATAAATCTTAAAATGGAATAGCTGATTTTTTTATTCCTAGGGAAGGAACACTACTAAGACGTTCAAGAGCTGTCACTCCTAAGATCATGAGACAACACTGTGATATTAATTTAAAGGATCAGTCTGGATGATCAGACAGTTTATAAGGGCTCCCTACATTATTACAATCCCAGGGTAATGTACCAGCCTGAAAAGCTTCACTTGTGACATGCTGATAAACTTGTAGTGATTTGGTATCTACTTCTAGCATGAGGGAACAGATCCTGACGCTATGGATAGTTCATGCCCTTCTGGAAGCCACAGGGAATTATAAACAAAGTACTCATCTCCTCTAATTCTCTACAATTAACGGAACATTTTGCTTCTTTATGCATTGTGCTTTATGCATTCAAAGTGCTGAGAAACCACCAGTTAATTAAACTTTGCTTCACGTCTACTGTTATCGTCTAGGAAGCAAATAATAGCCTATCCTCTTTTAAAGAGAACCAAAGAAATCAGAATATTCTTTGTCAGAAGAAATCCTCTTCCACTGGTAGAATCAGAGACTGGGATAGGACAAAATTATATAATATAGTAAGTCAGTCAAAATAAGAAATCAGCTTTAACATTTGTTCTGTGCTACTAAAGTTATGAACTGCAAAGCTTGCCACAAAATTTAGGTAAAACAACAGCTCATTTTGTTTAAAAAATAAGTTCTGTCAGGTTAAAAATTCTTCATGCAATCATACCTACACTACTATCAGTATCAGAAAATTAAGGCATGAATGTGTTTCTGTGCACTCAGCATCAATATATCACAGGTGAAGAAGTACTCAGAATTTTGTGCAACTGCTATTTAAACAAATTTTAAAATATCTACATTTTAAAATTATTGTTTACATTTCATTAGGAATAAGATACAGAATACTGAAAATGTTCAAAACCTCTATATTTTGTTATTAATAGTTCTGAGATATACAGGCATTCAATTGTTTTTCTGATTCTTAGTTATCAGGAAAATTGATAAAGTTTATATCTTTCTGTAATCTTTTTCTGATTTCCTACTCAATCAGATTAAAGAATTAAAAAGTAATCAACCAATACAATCTGGATTAAATTTTCTGAATAAACAGACAAACAGTTGTATCTGACGAGTCAAGAAGCAAGTCAGACAGTTCTCAGCATTAAAAAAAAAGTACTTGATAAATAATTCTAGATTATTGAGACCAAGTGACATTAGCTACATCAGGCCAGACATATTTTTTTTTCAGCACAGAAAATGCATCTACATTCTTTTGATTTAAAGCATCACATGTTATTTCTTTTATATAGCCAACTTTATCAAAACTACATATTACAGCTCTTTTAGGGCAATTGACTGGAAATAGGTCTATTTCCTTAGGACTTACCTTATCATTCACTACACTTTTTCCATCCCAGGCCCATCCTCGTTTTGTGAAATAATTTACTGTTGCAAATTCAATTAACGCAGAGAAAACAAATGCATAACAAACAGCAATAAACCAATCCATAGCTGTTGCATATGCTACTTTGGGGAGTGAATTTCGAGCACTGATGCTCAGTGTTGTCATTGTCAACACAGTTGTTACTCCTGGAAAGGGACAAAAAAAGAGAATATCAACAATTTTACTTAGATTTTGAACATTAAGAAAAATACAAACAAAAATTATTATAGTATGTTTGTGAAACATAATGGAAAATTTATTTATATAAGTTGTTGACAAACTGTCAGAAGCATATTAAGAGATCCATTTTAATTAATTTTTGGATCTTGGCTATCAGGTCAGGTAAGGGACATAATTAACAATTCTTTAATGGAATCGTAATGTTTTGCTGCATTATAGTACTAATGATGAATATGTTAATGTTTGGTGGCTGGCTTTATTGCAGTGACTGCAGGTCTGGCACCCATCTTTACTGACAGCACCACACAAATTGACCTTTGTTAAGAGAAATAACGATTTTTTTATTTTTTTTTTTTTATCCCCAGTTGCTGTCTCACTAACCACCCAGTGACATAGTTGAAGACATAAACAAGTCCAGCTTTCATTCAGGTAACATGAATTTTTGTCTAGAACAGTGTACTGAGTTGAAATGCCAGATTATTATAACTGTATATTATATCTCAGGAAACAAGACTTGATGATCCAGGAAGATGGTTCTTTCACTGCGGCAGTTACTAAAAGCACTTTACAGTACTTTGTATATAATGAAGGCCCAATAAGAAACCGAGAATTATACTCCAAAAAAAAAATCAGAAAAAAAAGATCCACGGGAGGAAAGGAAGAGAAGAACATTTTTCCAAATCAGTTTTAGCAAGCAGAAAGCCACAGCCACAAACACAGTCTTCATTCCTTAAGTAAATAAATTTTTCCACCTCAGGCTGAATCACACTTAGACAAACAATTCCCTTTATGGCACACCATTAAATACATCTCTAGAATGAAAAACAACCCAGTGACAGCACAGATCAGCAAACCTACACTCCGTTATGACAGGCAGAGAAGATGCCATGGCAGAAGTATTAGTAACCACACATCACAGCTTCAACAACTACACACTCATAAGAGCATTCCCTGGAGAAAGTCCTTTCCCTAAGCCAGATCCTCCACTGTCAGAATTGTGTCAGCTGGGTTCTTCAGGATCAGCCTAGCTCAAATTCTCCTTCTGCTACAAGAGGAGCATTTTTAACCACTGTGTAAGAGGGAAGACAGACAGCAATTACATCTACTCAGACTTTTTCAGGCTTTTCAATTTTCATCCCTTCCGTAAAGAATCTCCATCTCTGAGGTTGCTACAGAGGATGACAGGGCAAAGCTAAGTGGCCTCACCACTACTCTCCCTTGACGCAGTTCTAAAGGCCTGTGCAGCAGGGAA